TCAAGTGAATTATAAATAAATAAATAAACATTAATAATAGTAATTACAACATAAATAACACACTAGTTAGTTATTTTCATCATTTGTAAAGAAATAATATACCTACTAAGTATACTACTAAGTACTATCTACTATATCACATCTTATTTTTTTTATTCGGAAATTGAATCTAAAATCGGTATATCACTCAAATTGTAGTTGGTATAACACATTATATGTTCAGAAAAAACACAGCTTATATTTAAATTAAACTAGTTATACATTATTATAATTAATCGTATAAAAGTTTGTAAAACATTGAATATTTATTTCTCAAGCGTGCTCAAATGGTTAAATGGCTTAAAATGATTTTGATTAATTGGATTAATTTATAAGGAACTTTATATCGTAATGTTCGCATTACTAATATATAATAGTACATTTGTTTTAATATATACTTGTATTATATATATATTCTTCCACAAAAAAAAAAAGCTGACGTTGATTATTTTGCATTTATGACAAAACCAGTTATTTTGATTTAAAAACTTAATTAAAAGAAAAAAACAGATTTTAATAAAATTTCTATGGGATCATTCTTTAAGCATAGGTATATAAGTAAGACTATGAAAGTAATGGCCATAGTGTAACTGCGGTTGTCAATCTACCTGCCAAGCGTAGCAATTACTGGCAGAACCTCCTTTATTTTTTTTTTTATACAACTTAGAATGGCAAACAATCTGACGGTCCACCTGATGGAAAGTGGTAACCATCGCCTATAGACATGAGCAGTACCATGGACATAACAGAGTATACTGTTTCGCCCATGATACCCCCCATGCGTTACCATTCCTGAGGACTCAGATGTTATTCCTCTGTACCCTGTAAATTCACGCCATATCCCACCCTTCAAACCGAAACACAGCAATGCAAACACAATTGCTTCACGATTGAAACACGAATGGGACAGAGGTACCCAAGCAAACGACTTTTGTACAAAGTCTCCCTCTGGTAGTCTCTCTCTTTATGGGGGAGGCCTATGTTCAGTAGTGGATAGTTAACAGATTCACAGATTCATTCTATATATTTACATAAATTTTCAGGCAAAAAAAGAATTTTCCAAACTGCTTTATAATTGATGGAGATCATATCTCCAACAAACAAATACAAAAAAAAAACTACGTCCAGTCAGTTGAAAAATATAAACAGTAAGTGATACAGTGACAACCCTATACGCAAGGTATAAGTTTGGCGTGTCCGAGTAACGCGCGCCATAATTTAAGCATTTTGTCGTATGACATTATGGTAATAGTTATCGTAATATTCTTTGATACGCTCACGCTCACTGTGACACGGACGCGAAATTATTTTGTGTTCCTTAACGTTTCGTGTGGCGCGAGCTTTATGGAAATTTATAAAGCCATTAATATGAACAAGGTATTTCCCGACATCGTCTGTGTAGACTTTATTTGTAATGTCTCTTGGGAAGGATAGTTTAAACGAACCTAATCTTAAGAAAGGAATGGGAGTAATGAGATCTAATAGCCTCATTGCTAGCAATATACCCTGTCAAGTCGACTTCTCCGCGGTCTCCCCTGCCATCATCATTGTGCTGAATTCCAAGTGTATTTTTTTTTTTACGGGTGAAAATGGTATGGTACCCCGCTCGCGCTAAGGGGATACGCTGGCGGGGCACCAGTGTAGAATGAAAGATAAGAATGAAAACAGGCCAGTTAGCCTATCATGATGAATTCATCAGGAATTAACCATGATAGTTTCCAGGGGGAACCGCGTGGAGGTCGACTTGGTTGGGTATATTGCTAGCAATGGGATTTTTAGTCTCCATTACTAACAATCCCTTTCCCCCATTCCAAGTGTATTCATCACGATGGGTTAACTGATCTGCTTTTCATTCTCACAATTATCCTTCACTGGTGCCTCTCCAGCGTATATCGTTAGCGCAGGCAGGTAATGGAATGGTAATCCCCATAACATTATCATCCTTTAAAAAAAAACCCAACCCATAGGGGGGAAAAATAGTCGTGTGGTCCCGGTATAGAATAGGTTACCCCTTCCTATCCCGTGGGTGTCGTTGGAGCAGACTAAGGGAGAACAAGGGATAGGCAGCAGCGTTCCTCTTAAAACATCTCTAAACGCTGACTGCAGTTGTCACACACTAGTTTAAGTGTAATACAACTGTTCACTACAAAATTCTCATTAAGAGTTCATAAACATTTCACCTCTAAACAGGTAAAAAACCAAGTGGTTATAAAAAATAGACATTTATGCCAGCCAGAGTAAAACTCTTAAAAAATATAAAAAAGTTCTTAAAAAAAGTTTGTAAACACTGACACGAAGGTATTAGCAATTCGAGTATACTTCAAAAATAATAAATTCTCTCAGTTATCAAAATAAACAAGTTAACGTTAACTTTTAATTTATTTTGTATTTATTTATTTATTTTTAGAAAAACAAACAGCCTCATGCAATCAATACATAATTAAATTACATCTATGTTAAACCATAAATAGTTCAGACATTTGCGTAATTACACAATCGATCGGTTTTTATACATGCAGAAAAGAAATAGTTACAATACGTACTAGTTTAATTATAATAACTAAAATTTTTGTAACTTGCACCGTATTGACATTGTTTCCCAGTAAATAAGCAAGTAAATTATAATTTAAAACCCCATAAATTATATTTTAGTAATGTAACATTTTTGCAGTTGAAAAAATCAAATATTTTCAAACAGTTCAAGTTGAAATTAAAATTCGCGTCCTTAAAGCCACGAGCACGCGTTTTTTAGGCTGGCGTGATCGACTCTAAACAATTAGGAATGGGAATTACATGGATAGCATTCAATTTATGTCGATACTTCCCTAATGGTGCTATTAATATTGGCACACATAGTACCTGTATATATTCTTTGTGATAAATTGTTATAATTGTATATAGTATATAGTTGTCTTCTGTAGAAAGAAATTACGTGTTAAAAAATTATGGCTGTATAAAATCCCTAAACAAGTGATAAATTTTGACGTAAATAACCTCTTATTACTATGTACTCGTATTTGGTTATATGAATATATTAAATTTGAAGATAATCTTTAATATTACAGTGAGTGTATATTTTTATTTAAGCCTATATAATATTTATGTAAATTTTCCAGAATGTATTGTACACTAATACATTAATTCCACACGTACATTTTTGGTATTTCTATTTCCAAAAATATAATTATTCTGTAGCTGATCCTGAGAACTAAGGTGTAATGACTCATGTACACAATATGCATGAAGTATTTCCACCATTTAGATCAAAGACCAAAACGCATTTATTGACTTTTTTTGACAGAAAGAAGATATAAGTTCATGTGGAAATTTCTTAGTGGATATTCATCATTGTTTAAGTTTCAACATCATGTTATAGACAATAAAATTAAAAACAACATCCTGCATAATACAAAATAAAATACTTATTACGCTTTCCTGAAAAGTTTACCATTTTGAGTTATATTGTGTTAGTACTTAAGCGACATTATATCAATTATTATCTATTAACATTTTAATGTCAATTAATCATAACAAGAGTGTTGGTATATTAAAATAGATAAAAATACAAGTATAATATTAATTTTATATATATAATTTTATAAATTATCGATATCGATACTTTATGATTGTCGACTACCAGCCAGCCATGTAGTTATGCAAAACAGGAGCGGCGGGACACTATCTGATCGGTGACCGCATTAAACGCGGTCACACTTATTTTAGGGCGAAATAATCGGTTTACATTTTCAAAGAAAAATATTTTTCTTTTTTATATTATTTAATCAATTAAAATGTTTGCCGGTAAACACAAGGACAGTGTAGGTATGTGAGTCCTATGCTTGCATATATAGCAATAGGTCTATCAATATATTAAGGACAAAACAGGGAAAATGACCAAAGAATTATTAAAATATATTTAAGAATATTAAGAAATTATTATAGAAATATATAAAAATCATGCATATAAGTACATACATATATAAAATGGCATGTAATTATAAAATAAAATCATTTTAAAATAAATAATTTAAAATTTTCAGATATATTGCGTTTTTTAATTGGTGTTTTCGAATATAATAGAATAGTTAAATTAAACAAAGAATTAATTTATTTGCATATTTCTACTCCTTATTGCTAATGGTATTACTACTCTAAAAATTCTAAGCTAAGCTCTAAACGGACATTAACAATAATATTAAAAATAGTACCCACATGTATTCAACCACTTGGCACATTAGCCTTTTATTGTTTTTAAAAATTTAATATTTTTTGTGTTATCTATCTATAACAGTGTTTCACACTCAAGTTATTATCAGAACTGCAGCCAAAGTAAAATTACCTACCTGTGCATATATTTACATTGTTAATTTCCGATACTAAAAATTATTTTTACAACGGAGGTTTTAAGTATAAACCTTTGTTTTGCATCCGTTTTTATAAGATCTCGAACGAATAACTCAATTTATTTCGAATTGTTTTAGCAATGGAAGTTTACATATTTTTATTTAATTTTTATCAGGAAATTTAAGGAGCTATACTTTATATCAAAGAACAAAATGGCGTAAGTTTATAATTATTTAATTTATTTATTTGCTTCTTTATTCATAAAAAAACGTCAAATCTCTCTCTAAAGCTGTTTTAGCTATTAAAGTGTTTTGTCTTCTTGTTTTTTGCTAATTTCTAAATTTAAAGGACAGTAATAAAACACTTCAATAACTAAAACAAGTTTTCAGTAAATTTTAGTTTTTATAAATAAGGGTTATTCTTTTTTTGTAATATAGTCAACATTACAAAAAAACCATTTTTTTTGCTACAAAATGCGGACTTGATGGTGTGTAAATAGCGATAATAATAATTAAATTGTCGTTATTTTTGATAAAAAAAAAATAGAATACAATTACATTTCTGCATTTTATATATTAAGTAAACTTTTATGTGGCCCGTAAAGCATCCTTGCTAGAGATGGGCAATCCACCTGGGTGGGTTTAAAGTCTGGTGGGTAAAAACCGGGTGTTTTGGGTTTATTGGGTTTAAACCCCATAAACACCCAAATTTTTGGGTGTTTATGATTTTGTACTTCATCATCGTCATCTCAGCCGCAAGACGTCCACTATACTGGACATAGACAATATTATTATGCAGCCTACAGAATAAAAAACTTTTAATTTGATTTTGAGTTTATTAAGAAAGAGATGAAAGTAAAATGTAAAACTACAGTCAATCACTGTCAGATTCAGAGTTATTACAAGCGATGAATTGTATAGGTTCGATAGGCTCTATTTCGTCTAAACTGTTATGTTCATTTACTTGCTCAATGAAAGCTTCTAAGGTATTTTCTTCATTAAACTGAATGTCCTCGCATTCAGCTTTATGTTTAAGATTCCAGTTATAACAAATGAATGAAATTTTTTCAGTTCTTTCAGTTGTAAGTCGATTTCTTTTGTTATTATGTATGTAGCCTTGGATACTAAAGGAACGCTCAGTGGCTGCCGAAGTACAGGGAGCTGATAGAATACGAATCGCTACTTTGCTTAACTCAGTGGAACCACAAATACCTTTCCACCATATTAGGGGCTCAATGCTATCTAATGAGCTCCATACAAATCCTCTGGCCCAAAAGTTTTCTTTAGCTTTATAACACGCCAAATCTGCCATTACATTTGACAAACTTAAGTGTTGGCTTAAATTGTAGATAAACTCCATACCCTTAAGTTCTTCCTCTTGAGTAAGTTCGACTCCTAGAGTCCTGGGGTCTAGAATATATGCTGCAAAATGTATTGGCCTCATTGCCATATTGCATCTTGAAGATACTGATGTTAGAATCTGCTGTTTGCTTTCTTCGCTCAATGTCGAAATCTCATTTAATGCAAAACGTATCTTAGCTTGTACATCTCTAAATGTAATGTATGTGCGATGCAAACGATTCTGGTCGCTCTCTAAGTAAAATATGCTTTCAGTGACTGGTTCCAAAATACTTATACATTCCCCTGTCTTCGTCCAGAAATCATCACTTAGAATTAAATCTTTAATATCTCTTGAAATTACCACATCTTCTCTAACTGTTAATATTTGCAAAGCTATCTTATTTGCTTTCAAACTTTTTAACGAAGTAACATGACTTCCCCATCTTGTAGCACAAGGCAATTTTAGTGTTTGTGTAGAATCTTCACCCTGCCTTGATTTTATCAACAAGGAACTTAATCGTTGACTCCTTTTAACAGTTTTTATTATATTTATGGCTTGCATAATAAACACAGTTACTTCTTGTATCTTTACAATATCTTGGCACAACAAGTTAAGGATATGTGCACAGCAACCGAGAGGAACAACATGTGGATATTTGAGTTTTGTTAATTCGAATGCCTTTTGTATATTTCTAGCGTTATCGCCAATAAGTACAAGAAACTTATTTGCTCCATACACTTTCATTACTTTTTCAACTTCTTGGCTAAGGTATTCACTAGTGTGAGGATTACTTTCTGTATTCAAACTTTTAACGTATGCAGGTTGAGGTTTTGATATAAGAAAGTTTATTATTCCTTCATTTCTTAAATTAGACCAGCCATCGCACTGAAGGTGTAAGTAACTACAAGCATTTAGTTCCTCATTTAACTCAAAACGCATTTCTCTATATATTTTATCTAAGTATTTTGTCGCTAAAGCTTTACGTGAAGGTATTTTAAATTTTGGTTGCAATTTTTCGAAAAATTGTATCCATAAAGGATGTTGCACCATCGATAATGGCGTCCCTGTTACAAATATAGCTCTCGCTAATTCTGTTTTTATATGATCATCGGTGTCTTGAAACTCAGCATTTATTGTAGTGTTAGCAGACGACGAGGGGCTTATAAAAGAATCATTTGTCTCTATCTCTGACAGTCCAGACATTTTGGTTTTGGACGAGCTATCTTTTATAAGTTTCATAGAGTCTTTTAATGTTTCTGGAGATTTTGGACAAGTGATAAGATGTTGAAGCATTTTGGCAGCATTACTGAATTTGTAGACCTTATTACAAAGCTTGCAAGAAACAGACTTGTTTGGTAAAGTACGGTAGTGCTCCCATATGCGTAAATCTTTAGGTCTCCCCATTGAACCTAAAAAAATGAACGATGATTAGTTGGTCTGACGAAAATTCAACAATAGAGTGCCTATTTTTTTACAATGATTATTTCTTGTTATTTACAATAAATTTATTAAAAAAATAATAAAATAAATACAAAAAACCTTTGTAAAATTACATCTCCTCGGAGGATTAAACGCAGACGCTAGTTTATTATCGTATTGTTCTGTATTTTTCTCAGCAACTTCTTTAATTCGATTAGGTACTTACGCATATTATGTTAAAAATAAATATCTAGTACACATCTTAGGCTATCCACCATTATTATCCAATGACGACTCTCAGCTAACTATGCACTATCATCCAAAATAAACGTGTATGGAAAATTTTATCCCAGTCGGTTGAGGATTGAGGATAATTGCATCAACATACGAACATACCTACATACTTTTATTTACATAACGCAAGCTAAATAAAAGCTTGTAATAATACATCTAATTTTAAGTTAAAATTGTTAAGTGATCATGATATAATTGTATCATTCAAAAATCCACTTACCTTTAATTATTTCTTGTTAAGTATAAATATTATTTCAAATCTGCTCCCTTAATATGCACTTTTTTACTGCTTTTCCTACCTAACACGTTACCAGGAAGTCACGTTACCAGAGTCAGAGTAATAGTGAACACGTTTGACAGTGATTGTCGTCGCCTCATATTCAGCGTCGACGAATAGGGGAATCCCCAGTCATAATGTATTGCATGCGTGGCGGTCTTACTTCAAATCCATAAACAAAGAGATAATTACAGAACTCGATACTAGATGGCGCTGTTTTTGTTTGAAGAAAGTTTGCGGGCTAAAATACATAGAATTTCATCAATGACTTCCACAAAGAACAACATTTCTGTTTTTTCTAAGTCCGTATCTCTTCCGTATATTTCATAAGATATAAGCTTGGGCTACATTGTTATGCAACGTGATTTTGTCGCTGTCTTGCTAGCAGGGTTGACAGATATACGATTTAAATCGTACTCATACTATTATTTGTCTATTTTTTAATGTACGATCGTAAAGATTATGATCGTAATTCGCACAAAAACATACGACTTTTTGGTTACCTGGCAACATTTTTATTATGAAACGAACATGCTCACATCATCAGTCACATGCAACAATTTATTGGGGATTTCCCCTTCACATCTGGCAGTCCTGCTTGCTAGAATATAGGTAAGTCAGCCACAGTTACTGACGATCGATATTTAAAGGGTATTGTTTTTGTGCTAAATATTTCATAAAAACGTTATTTAATACTTTGTGGATTATTAATTTAGTTGATAATCACTGGAAGTAAAATGGATGCTAATTTGAGAGATCAAGATCTTCGTATAAAACAGTTAATAAAAGAAAATCTACGTAAGTACTCTTTTTATACCTAGGTAGGTAAGGTATAATAAACACAAAAGGTACTTAGATCGCGTGTGTTCGAAGCATTTATTCTAATAAATTTAATTTAAAATTGTAGAAAGAAAAAAATGTCTGCCAAGCCGTAGCCGAAGCCGATCTCCAAATATATTTGGCGATAGTGAGACCCAGTGTCCAGATGATTTACCCAGCGTCGTCGCAACAAAGAAAAAAAACGAGGATAAAGTAAAAGAAAATTTACTGAAAGAAGAAACAAACTGTTCTAAATGCTTAATTTATGGAGAAGAGGATAAAAGAAATGAGTATTTCGGACTGTTAGTGGCTCAAGAATTTAAATATATACGGCCATGTGTGCGAACGAGGTGTTATGAAGAAATTTTAAAGTATCTACGGGAAGCAAAAGGCCAACATGTTGATCAACTGCAACATGAAAACACTGAAAATTAATTACTTTCATTTTATTATATATAGATTTTTAAAATTTCCTGAAATATTATTAGTTAACGTTTTATTTAATATTGTAGAATTGATCAATACAATTTATAAAAATAATTTATTGGTATTACTTACATATTTTCAAAAAAATACGTAAAAACCTATTTTTTTGGGTGATTATGGGAGTTTATGGGTGTTTATTGGGTTTTTACCAAAGCACCGGGTTTAAACCCGGTGCTTTGCCCATCTGTAATCCTTGCCCAAAGCACAGATAAAATAATACTATACTAGTACTACAGGTAATTGCTGCGCAAAGACCTTTACATTACTAGACATTTATGTTTCAGCCAAATTAAAATATATATATATTATGTGGATTTTTCGCATTGGGTCTCCATCTGTGAAATCTAAGCCTTATACTAAGGCAGCAGCGGTCACAAGACGCCACACATTTTAAACTGATATTTGCGTGTAAACGCCACTTTTTTTTATTCATATTTTTTTTTGGATTTTCACGGTGATCGCCCACTCTGATACCATCGATTTTCACCGTGGGCACGCACCACCTCACTTAATTCCTGATTTAGTACCGCATCATATTTTGATAAGTATTTTTAATTTGAATAAATTATGATTTAAGTGTGTTATCGGCCTGTAATGGCTAACTGTAATCACGGCCGTGGTTCTTTCACGCTACAATGTCACAGTCGAATTTTGGCTTTTGTTCCTTTATGTACACGACAAGGAAAAATAAAAGATTTAAAGATATTTAATAAATATAATAAAAGTGATTGAGAAATTTTTCCATATAATAGTATTCTTCCGTGGTGTAACTGAGAATGTATTTGGCTTTCGTAGATAAGAGGGTGGGTTCGAAACCCGTTAGATCGAGCTGTTGAAAGGTGATTTTTTTAAACTTTTATTTTATAAGTGGAGAAAAATAAAATGTTTGATATAGATGTCACATGTCTTAATTCAGGTTTACCACTGATTCAGCTTAATGATAACCTTATTTACGAGAGAAAAAAACCTCTAAAATATTGCTTATTCTTTGTGAACGTTCTATAATGGTGAATAGTTTATAATGTCGTGCGATTCACTACTAAATTACTAATTTAATGTTTCTTGTTTTCAGATTAACATCCACACCAAGATGCCTCATACAGGTAAATAGAAATAACTATTTACAAGTTTATTTACAGTTTTAATGCATGCAAACACAATATTTTTGGAATTTAGAGACACAAAAGAAGATAAGACTTTATTAATTATATTTTAAAGTTTAATTATTAATGCACCTATAAATATTTTATTAAAAGTAATTTATAATACATTGGGAGGATAAGTTACGTCGTTTTCATGGAAATTCCCTAAGATTTTTCATAATAAATGACATCAAAATTATTCACGAAGGTTTAAATAAATTTTCGTATCTGTAGATTTTTTAATAGAACCTACAGTTGTATTTCTAATAGTTTGTGATAAGTTTGTTAGTAACATTTTTATATCAAAGTATATATATCTTAATATAAAATAAAAATATTTAAATATTTTCTGTTATCATTACCTCGGTATCAGTGTTTAGCATACAAATGAGAGTTATTAAATACAAGTAAAATACAAGAGTCGTTTACAAATTGTCACATAAGTGTCACTTAGATCTACTTAGATTCATCGATACCAAATCTTAACTGCGTTTTAAGTTGAAGCACACATTACACGCAATACGGATAGATTTCAACGAAGCATACATCTGGACAAAAGCTTCTCAAACTTTTGTTAGGTAGATCAATTGCAATGTGTTTTTTTTTTGTTTTGAGTAAATCCTGTGTATATTATGTGTTTATATAATATCTTATAATAACTTTTTGCAAATTCATAAAGTGTAAATGTGTTTTGATAGCTGGTATGGATTTTCTCAAGCTTAAAGATTTAAACTAAAACTTTGCTTGATAACTAACTTTTTTAACTTGATTTTTTTAATTTTTTTTATGCAACTTAGAATGGCCACACAAACTGACGGCGCCCCCGCCTGCGCTATCGGTATACACTGGCGGGGCACCAGTGAGGGATGATAGATGAACATGAAAGTAGGTTAGTTAGTCATCGTAACGAATGAAACAAGTATTAATCACGATAGTTTCCAGAGCGAACTGCGTGGATGTCGACCTGACAGGGCTTGCTAGCAATGGGGTCATCAGTCCCCATTACTAACAATCCCTTTCCCCCCACTCGACAAAAAATAATAATTCACAATCTGTTACAATAAAAGGACATAGTGGTCGGGTAATATCGAGTAGTATAAGAAAAGGAATATAAAATCAGCAAATTATCATTTGCTGATTAGGCAATTCCGAAAATTTGTGACGTTAGTGAAAGCAATTAATATAAATATACAAGCATTTATAACACATTACTAAATATATATCCCATATCATGGGCGAAACAGTATACTCCGTTATGTCCATGGTACTGCTCATGTCTACAGGCGACAGTTACCACTTTCCATCAGGTGGACTGTCATCTTGTTTGCCATTCTAAGTTGTATAAAAAAATATATAAGAGAAGTAACAAGTCGCTTATTAGAATTAAAAACTGGGTCAACAGATTTGACTTCAATCTTAGTTTTTCTCATTGGCACCTTGTCTTATTTGTATTTTCGTCTCCTAAAAAACCGTATTCAATATTGACTACTTTGGGAATCACTGATCTTGAATTTACGGTAGGTATGCCTTATCTAATACATTAAACATGTAACCCAAGTAGCTATCCGTTTATACGGCACAGATCTTAATTAACTTAAACTGTTCACATTAAAGCTGAGAAGCCGGCAGGACGGTATCGAGTGGGTTGGAATTTACCTCACGCATCGAAATCATAAGCGTTTCAAAGAATGCTCAACGCGTCACAGAATAAAAAATACGGTGCTACTGTGTATCGTTGATTACGCATTTATATACGGGACTTCAAAAGGCAGTTTCTCAATTCAATGTTGCCAAGTTTTTTGGAAGTATCAATATATATTTATTTAATGAATTAGATGAGATTTACAGTTTACTTATATGCTTATTTAGGAAAGTATCAGTACAACAATAAATATAATAATAGATATAAAATGTAGGAAAATAAATAATAAATGAACATGAAGCAATACATAGTAACGTGATACACATAATAATATTAAAAATATATATTTTTATCTAGCTAGACATAAATACTCGACGATACTGGCTTATAGCACTGTAGAGTAGTCTGAAGAGAGAGGAGAGCTTGTTTGGCCAACTCTGTTCTTCTTATAAATTAATTAACCATTAATCAAAATGCTCGCACGTAACTACTGGGCCCTCCTATAGATATTTTTGCCAGTTTAATATAAATTATATCAATATCTGCACCAATTCCTATTAGAAGAATGTTCTCAATTGAACTAAATTAAATTTGTGACTACGTTACGTGATTACTTACCAATTCCTAGCCGTTTTTTATAATCGATGGTGTTTATTTCCGTTTTGATTTAATTTTCATTTTGTGTTAATAACTAGAAGTTTTTAACTTTTTGTACGAAGCAAAAAAAACTGTTTGTTTCGAAGCAAAATCATCTTGTTTGTAAATAGGTATACATTATTTTTTATTTTACTAACCAACTTGTTTTAATTCTCCTCTATCATCCCCTACTGCTATATCAATATAAATTAATATCCAAACTCGAGCCAATTTGGTAAAGTTCGTCGACTTAATCGATACTATCAAGAATGAAACCCAAGACCTTGCATCGTAAGCACGGATGCAACGTCGAGGTCGTCATATTATTTTATAATTTTAATTTATAGTGAATACGTTAAACTGTGTCTTCTTAGACACGTATAATCGACTAAGCGATTCGATTCACGTCATTAGTATGTGCCAAGGTCCCAACAAACATTCACAGTAATTAAGAAAATCGAGGGACGAATCTTGCATCGAGATAATATCGGATCCGTATCGAGCCGGCCCACCCGCGTCAGGCTCACTCATTATCTAATACATTATACATGCTCAACTTACATTAGTTTCTTATTAACATCTCCTCACATTGAATTACCTTATTAAAAACTTGCTCTTATTTTTTTAGAGTTCCTCACCTCAGGTACGACTTGTACTACAAAACTATGAATGTTAAATTTATTTGATATACATATGTCAAATTTCAAGATTTTTTCTACCATAATAATTTGTTTCAAATAAGAATTTATAATAATACAATATTATTTATAATACTTGGGAGAACAAACTTTATAATTTAATATTTTCGTATAAAAAAAAAAAAACAGTCACGATAGTGAAATTTTTCAACATAAAAAAAATAATCAAAATTATTTTAAAATTAACAAAGATACTGCGTAGGGTATGAGTACATATGAAATACAATTGCATTGGAAACCTTTTATCAAGTCGGTATAAATGTATACGAATAGAAAAAATACAAAAAGAAATAAATAATATTTTTATACTACAAATATATTTTACTTCTGAAGACTTCGAATAATTTGTTTTTTAGCAAAACTAAATTTTAAATTAGTTCTGTTTTTTTCATGTACTGAAATTTTTTTAATTATCAAATATATTAGAACCCTCAGTACAAATATGGTTCGTACTTGTCTATTATTTAACTGCTCTCTCGATTGGCTACTCTACGCCGGCAGCTATAAGAGTTAAACGTCAATTGAAAAACAAAAAAAGATTTTAATAAGCCGCAATAAAATTTCATAATATCTGGCAATAATTTTGTAAATGTGATGATATCAGAGCATAAAAGAAATATTTGATCGTTACGATATACTATGGAAACTTTCTGTGGGACTCACACGATGTTTCCGTGTTTTATACGGTGATGTCTATGTGATAAGCTTCTGTTTATGATGTGGGTTTGACAATTTTAAGGTTGTATTCGTGATGAGTTATGATAATTTAACTCATCACGAATCTAATCTATATAAATAAAAATTTAATGCTGTTCATTGGTGAAGGTACATTGGTAAATTATTTGAGAACTAGTCTACTGATTTGGCAATTATTTTTTTTATTTAAGCTAACTAAATTTTTTGGGTCGCCGTGTTGTCCCGGTATAGAATAGGTCACCTTCCTTTCTCATGGATGTTGTAAGAGGTGACTAAGGGTATATATTTATTTTTATTTATTTAACATTTTATTGCACCAATATATATATATATATATATATATATATATATATATATATATATATATATATATAACAACTTGTTAGCAAGGAAGGGCTTATCTCTAAAAGAGATCTCTTCCAGCCAACCCAGTGTAGTTAGAGAGAAAATTATTTGGGTAATCCAGTGCAGGAAAGGTACCGGTAAAAATAATGTAAATACAACAAACAGACACAAATTGTGATTAAATAAATAAGTAAATAGATAAATATATATACATATGTATAAGTATATTATATTTGTTTACATATCCATTAGGTTCTATTTAAACAGAATATCATCATTAACAACATATCAGTCTTTAACTAAGCTAAACGTAAGCCTTACCCTTGGGGGAGGAGCGGGGGGTTGTCAATAATTGCCACGCTTGGTAGGCGGATTGGCAACCGCAATTAGATTTTGGAGATGTTTTAAGTTTCACTCGACCATTAAGTTCCCTTAGTCGCCCCTTATGACGCCTCCTCCTCTTCCCCTTTATAGGGGAGGTCTTTGTTCAGTAGTGAATAGTTAATAGCTGATATGATGATGATTAGCATAATTATACGACACCTTAAGAGCAAAAAGGGAGGGAAACTTTGTACAAAAGTCGATTGCTTGAGTACCTCTGTGCCATTCGTGTTTCTAATGTGAAGCAGTTGTGTTTGCATAGCTGTGTTTCGGTTTGAAGGGTGGGATATGGCGTGAATTTACAGGATACAGAGAAATAACATCTGAGTCCTCAGGAATGGCAACGCATGGAGGGTATCATGGGCGAAACAGTATACTCTGTTATGTCCATGGTAATGCTCATGTCTATAGGCAACGGTTACCACTTTCCATCAGATGGGCCGTCAGCTTGTTTGCCATTCTAAGTTGTATCAAAAAAAAAACAAGAAATAATAAAAATAACCCATCAAAATCAATCAACAGTATAGTTCATAAAATCAACCAGCTCGTTCTACAACTATGGT